TGGAAATGCAACTCAAAGAAAACAAAGGCATTATATACTCAAACATTTAGCATGCAAAGTTTCTATTAAGTTAATAAGGCTCTCCTTGCCAAGCAGGTATAGAAGAAAATGTGATTTTCTAATCACTCTCTAAATAGAAAAAGTTTAGAAAACATTCATCTTGAAGTTTAATAAAAAATTACCCTATTCTTCCGATAGATTAAGATCTCTTATACAAACGTGCAATAATACCTTTTCAAAACCCCATAACCTGCATATTCTACAAACATCACTATCGGATAAAATCACCAACGCAGTCAGTAGAAGGAATTTTCCCCTTTATCTGTAAAATCTGCAGAAAATATTAAAAAGAAATACTTATTTTACATGTTTGACATGAAGAAAATAAGATTTTTTTTTACATCCTTCATCCTAGATGTAGCAGTAAAAACAGTCATAGTAAATTAAAGAGCATTTTTGTGTAAGCCCGTGTATTTTACCAATCCAGTACAATCCTACCTCCACCCATATGGGCTTAAATTTTTTTATACAGGATATTAATAAATTATTGCATATATAAATTCATTTATATATTAATAAGTCATTTCTCTGCAGTAATGGTGCAAGTGCTGTAAACACTAGTGACACTTGGACTTCAGTTCTTGAAATTTAAAATAAAAAATCCATTTTAGCTTTCATTTACTGAATACAGCATTAAATGTGTTGAGCTGATGAGCTTTTCAGCACTGGAGATAGAATGGTTTGGGTTGGAAAGGACTTTAAGATATATACATACTCCTTTACGTTGTGCTCAGTCCATTCTTAAACTTCCCTGTACACCTAGAAAATTCCAACTGCATATCTTACATACTCTGTTCTCCATAGAAACATAGAATAGTTAGGGTTGGAAAGGACCTTAAGATCATCTAGTTCCAACCCCCCTGCCATGGGCAGGGACATCTCCCACTAGACCAGGTTGCTCCAAGCCCTGTACAACCTGGCCTTGAACGTTGCCAGGGATGGGGCAGCCACAGCTTCTCTAGGCAACCTGTGCCAGCACCTCACCACCCTCACAGTAAAAAACTTCTTCCTTATATCTAACCTGAATCTCCCCTGTTTAAGTTTTATCCAATTACCCTTTGTCCTATTGCTACAGTCCCTGATGAAGAGTCCTTCTCCAGCATCCTTGTAAGCCCCCTTCAGATATTGGAAGGCTGCTATGAGGTCTCCACACAGCTTCTCTTCTCCAGGCTGAACAGCCTCAATTCTCTCAGCCTGTCTTCAGATGGCTAAGAAAATAAGATGCTTTGAGTTAACAAAAAAGCCCACTGTTAATTAAGTGATCACTTTAGAAAGTCGCTAAATGACTTCACCAGACCATACACAGCCTTGCCAACAACAGTTGTCTCAAGACCTTCTCAGTTACAAAACACAGCAGGGCAGTTCCACCATGAGGTTCACAGCACTTGTTTTTTGCTTGAAGACCTTGACGCAAGCATCTGGCCTTACCGCGATGTGACCGCCACAGTGAACATGTACACCAACAAAGAGGCAGGTAACAGCAAACACATTATAACATCAGTAGTAACAAACGATGCCAAAAGAAGGACTGAATGGGAAACTTTTCCAAAGATACTGAGATTTCAGTAAAGTATGGGAAAATGCAGATGGGATTTGCAGTCTTCTACACATCATTTTCCTGACTCAGTGTTTTGCTGCCATCTCACTGTAACCCTGCCAATATTTAATAAGAGGAAGAGGACTACGTGGGTGGAAGGAAAAGCAAATCTACCTCTTGAGCATGCTTAGTCCTTTATCTCATTGAACGGCATTTCTTTGTTCAATGCTGAAGAACTGCATGCAGGTGAGCCACCTAAGAGTTGCTGGGTTTCTCAGAATCTTCTGGGGATGTCCTCGGCATCTGGGTTTGAAGTTAGCATCATCAAGAGAGCGATTTGCTAGTCTACCATCCTGTTGCTGCAGGTTTGTCAAGTGAAATATCTGCAGATAGAGGCCTTCCCAGAATTCAAAGCTCTCTCTAGATGAGTAAAAGTACTCACAGCCTTTTACCTACTGCTTTGCTTTTTCATGTTCAAAGTCGCAATCTGAATCCAAAAGACAATGGGAAAGCCATTGTGGGCACACAAATTTTTTCCCCCCTGGCTTTAAAAGAATCTTAGAAGTTGTCAGTGACAACTGAAAACCCTAATTTAATTGCCCTGATATACAAAAGTACCTAAATCAAAAAAGTGATTAAAACTGCAGAAAAACCTCTGTATGCTGCACCTTCACATGAGGGGTGAAAAGAAGAGCCCTCAGCGTGAGGCATATAAAATGACAGAACTGATACAAAATACAGCTCATAATTTGGGAGTCTGAAGCATACGAACAACCAGAGAGGAACATACGAGTGTATTTTCATGAGAACAACATGTTTTACAAGGGAAATGGAAAACAAAACTGTTGTATAGCAGCATAAGCCAAATTAAGGAGATATTTCAGTTTCAAGTCTGGTCACAAACTAAGAAGGACTAAATATATTGCAGAAACTGAAAGACAACTGCGCTTATTTCTTTTCTAGCACCACCAACCACATTCTTTTCCATATAAATTAAGTCCAAATTTTACAATAAAAACATTTAGAAAATATTTGTTAAAAGTAAATTGTCCAGAATTATCTGCAATATGAATTTAAGCATAGGAAGTTACTAATTTATAAAAAGCAGCTCTTCTAGAGACTTTTTCTTTTTTTCTTTTTCTTTTAATATTTCACAAAAATACCAAATCCATAAGAGTGACTAATGGGGAGACAGGGGCACAAGGATGCAAGCTGGAATATGCTTAGGTCATATGAACTTCCTAACCCCAATTGAGATGTCTAAGGTTTGCTGACTTTGGTCTATCTCAGTAGATGCTTTCCTTGGCATTGATACAAGTGAGGGGTTTTTTTGTAGTCATCTAGATCAGTCTTCAACTGTAAAACTCTGAGCAGTCATTCTGATGTTAAAGAGAAGAGCTCTGACTGAAGCTTTGGCTGGGATATTAAAGTCTAAATTATAAGAACCTAATAAAAGACAAAAATGGTCTTATAAATATTTATATTTTATTGTTATTAGATTTTATTTATTACTGCAGAAAGTATTAACCATGGAAAATTACACTGAAGCCAACAAGCTTAGCATATCATATGTGAAAGGCCATTTTTTACATTCTGGAAACAGATAGAAAGACTTCTAAATGAATCCTTTAAAGCTCCTAATCCAGGACAAACATGATGATTATGATTGTTGAATGCTTCTGTGGAGCGTTTGTCAGGTGCTTTAATTATTTCATATAGTAGAAACAAGTCCTCTCTTGATAGCACAGGAGCCGTAGTGAAAAACTAGAGCATACCTGGTTATTTTACACATACTAAAAATGGCTTCTTATTCAGACATGCAATGACTACTAAAAGAAAAATTGTGAAACCAAATATTTTCCCTGTTAAAATATTTTTACGGTATTCATGCTAGAACTCTTTTGAGCTGTGTCACTGCTTTTTACAGTGGAAGTAATGGTTTTAATTGGCCTGAGCTGCTACTACACCCCATAGGATGATAGAGGTTGCTGGGTCTCCTCCTCTGCTAGCAGCTCTAGTGAGTCTGAAGCTGCTGTGAGCTGCATTTGGTGCAAAGGCTCTAACTAACAACTGAGATATCAGAACTAAAGTATCAGTATGTTCTTTTAATCAATATCTACTATTTGTAAAGTAGAAACTAGACTTGAATACGTACAAGAAAGTTATTTGCCACTTGGTCTTAAGTCTCACGTAATGGATAAATTTCCCTTAAATTTACAGTAGAATTTGAATCATGACCAAATTTTGCCCCCTAACACCTTGCATGGTAACCAGTAACTGGTTCAGGCTCTTCTTTTAAACAAGAGACAAATTCAGATCACAATACTGTCTAGTGAAAAATCCTTTTGATTTTAGTCAAAACAAGAGACTTCTGGTTTTTGTACTACTTGGAGTTCTTTGCCTACAGGCAGCATTATCATCCAAAAATTAAGTTAATTCTTAAGCTGTTGCAATACAACATAAATGGCCAGCAAAGGAGAAAACAATGAAAAACAGTAAGGGAGAAAACAAGCTTAGATTCATCCTCTTCCATGTATTTAATTACATACATGAGGAAAGAAGAGGCTAGATAACAAACTGATTGCCTTCTTTTTTTTTGTGAATCACCTCCATTCTGAACTTTCTGATCTTAGACTTCTCAAAACCTCGAAATCCAATAATGACAAAATTCCAGAGATATGATGGAGACCACAAGGACACTTAACTGTAGTGTTACAACATTTAGAATCAGACCTGGATTTGGCTAGACACATTCTCTAATATAATAAAAAAAGCCTTTTTCTTTTCCCCATATTACTTTGTTTATTCAACCATTCAGCAAACACAGCTGGACCACAGACACTGTCATCAAAGAAACATTATAGGTCAGTCAAGACTGGATGACAATCGTCTAAAAATAAATAGATGCTTTGTCACAGGAGTATAATTTTAAGGCCCCTGTAATGAATAATGGAATAGAAAAATCTTTCCAAGCAAGTGGGATGTACTGATTTCAAGCAGAAAGATTTCACAGTTAATCTGAAATTCACAATTATTGTAAGCTCCAGATAACCTAATTTTTATTTTACTTCAATAAAAATGATACATAGAGGAGCTTAGTCAAAGGCTTGGTATTGGTATTAAACAAAGAGCTGCAGAACACCTTGGAAGACAGATGAGTCTAGCATTTACCTATCATGCAGACAAGAAAACTGAAAAAATGCAGTGAACCAATTTCCTATGAGTTACCAAGTGGCAGAACCAGGATCAGGCTTCACACTTCATAGTTCTTATCCCCAGTATCATGCACAAATTATTTCCTCTAAGCTACAGAAAAGAAGTGAGATAAGAGCACAGAGCTTTATCAGTACAGTCACTACTCAAACTTTGGCTGCAATGAACAGTGCAGCTACCCCAGTGGCAGGTACAGCAGCTACTCAAACCCCAGCAACAAGTACAGTCGCTACTCAAACCACAGTGATAATCACTGCAGCTAAACCAGAGGACCAATTCGTACCAATATCAGTTGCCCCTGTACACAAGAGAAAAAGCAAAACAGAGGCAAGAAGGGTGAAGCAAGATGAAGAAACAATGTATTCACCACCCGGTCCAGCATCTGATCAGGAGTCATCATCACATGATGAAGAAGAAGAAGGAGAGGTGACTTCTTGACCTCAGACCTCAACCGAGCTACGGAATATGCGAAAAAAATTTACCCGTCAACCAGGGGAGCACATCATCACCTGGTTGCTCCGATGCTGGGACAATGGAGCTGATGGTCACGAACTAGAAGGTACAGAAGCCAAGCAGTTGGGATCACTTGCTAGAGAAGGGGGAATTGACAAAGCAATTGCAAGAGAGAAAAAGTCCCTCAGTCTTTGGAGGCGGCTCTTGGCAGCTGTCAAAGAAAGGTTTCCATACAAGGACAATGTTATGAGTCGTTCGGCCAAGTGGACTACTATAGACAAAGGCATCCAGTCTCTGAGGGAATCAGCCATCGTAGAGATGATCTATCACATCAAGCCGAATAACGGAGATATACCCATAGATCCAGATGAAGTTGAATGTACACGACCCATGTGGCGAAAACTTACACGGAATGCACCATCATCATATGCCCATTCATTGGCAACAGTAACCTGGAATGACGTAGTACCACTAACAGTGGATGAAATGGTTCATAAACTCCACGAGTTCGAAGACAATCTCACCCCTTCCATCATCTCAGCTGTGGAAAAACTGTCCCAGGATCTCAAACAACTGAGGGACAATATATCTGACTTATCCCGCTCCTCACATGTACCAACACACATCTCAGCTATTAACAAAAGGCGTCCTACTGTTCGAGAAAGGAGATACAAGAGGTATACGCCACGGGCCACCCTACAGTTTTACCTGTGGGATCACGGAGAAGATATGACGAAGTGGGATGGAAAACCTACTTCAGTTTTGGAGGAATGGGTGAGTGAATTAAAGAGGGGAGCAAGGGCCAAGACTGATCGTCCCATGAGAACTACGGCTTCAGTCTCTGGTGAGCGGTTTCCCAGGTGGAGTGGAAGAGTGTGGAGCAATGGTTATTCTCATGAGGGCCTGCACAACCCAGGATTAGAGCCAAGTGAGACAGCCTTGAACTCTCTCTGACTCAGCTTAGCCGAGGAGGCCTGGAGTCGAAGAAATGTACGCAGAACATTGAAACAGGAGCTTGCTGGCCACAAGGAATGCACCGCTTATCGCAAGGCATGCACCCTCCTGTTGCAGAGGTATGTGTGTAAAACTTAGCTTAGCCAATAGCAATGTATAGACAGGCGTGTGGACAGATTTATGTAGCCAATGAAAGATGTACAGCTGTCACGTAAACTATCACCAAATTAAATTAGGTGAGCCTGTGCAATAAATGGAACAAGAAGCATAACTCATATTGAGATTGTCTTCTTGATTCGGGTCGCTCCTCTGACAGAAGAGCTGATTTTTCTCCAGCTCCTGTGATAACTGAAAATAATCCCTTTCAACATGACTTAAGTGTCTAACGTTGTGATGACTATTAGAGGGGCCCTGCCTCCAGCCAGGTGGAGGTAGGGGACAATTGGATTTACTGGACTGTGTGGATCAGATGTTCTGGCACATCAGTCCCACAGAACTATAAGGCTCTGGTAGATATTGGTGCACAGTGTACCCTGATGCCATCAAGCTGTCAAGGGGTGGAACCCATCTATATTTCTGGAGTGACAAGAGAATCCCAAGACTGTACTGGAGGCTGAAATCAGCCTAACTGGGAGGGAATGGCAAAAGCACCCTATTGTGACTGGTCCAGAGGCTCCATGCATCCTTGGCATAGACTACCTCAGGAGAGGGTACTTCAAAGACCCAAAAGGGTACCAATGGGCTTTTGGTATTGCTGCTTTAGAGACTGAGGAAATTAAACAGCTGTCCACCTTGCCTGACCTCTCAGAGGATCCTTCTGTTGTGGGGTTGCTGAAAGTCGAAGAACAACAAGTGCCAATTGCGACCACAACAGTGCACTGGCGGCAATATCGCACCAACTGAGACTCCCTGATTCCCATCCATCAGCTAATCCGTAGACTGCAGAGTCAGGGAGTGATCAGCAGGACCCGCTCGCCCTTTAATAGCCCCATATGGCCAGTGTGAATGTCTAACGGAGAGTGGAGACTAACAGTAGACTATCGTGGCCTCAATGAAGTCACAACACTATTGAGTGCTGCTGTACCAGATATGCTAGAACTTCAGTATGAATTAGAGTCAAAGGCAGCCAAGTGGTATGCCACGACTGATATTGCCAATGCATTTTTCTCAATTCCCTTGGCAGCAGACTACAGGCCACAGTTTTCTTTTACTTGGAAGGGTGTCCAGTTCACTTGGAACCGACTGCCCCAGGGCTGGAAACACAGCCCTACCATTTGCCATGGACTGATTCAGACTGCACTGGAACAGGGGCAATCTCCAGAACACCTGCAATACATTGATGACATTATTGTGTAGGGTGATACAGCAGAAGAAGTCTTTGAGAAAGGAGGAAAATAATCCAAATCTTGCTGAAAGCCGGTTTTGCCATAAAACAAAGTAAGGTCAAGGGACCTGCACAGGAGATTCAATTTTTGGGATTAAAATGGCAAGATGGGCATCACCAGATCCCCACAGATGTAATCAACAAGATAACAGCAATGTCTCCCCCAGTAAGAAAGAAACACAAGCTTTCTTGGGTGCAGTGGGATTCTGGAGACTGCACATCCCAAATTACAGTTTGATTGTAAGCCCTCTCTATTACGTGACCCGTAAGAAGAATGATTTTAAATGGGGACCTGAGCAACAACAAGCCTTTGAGCAAATTAAACGCAAGATAGTTCATGCAGTAGCCCTTGGACCAGTTCGGACAGGGCCAGGTGTAAAAACTGTACTGCACACCTCAGGTGGGGAGAATGGTCCTACCTGGAGCCTCTGGAAAAAGCTCCAGGGGAGATTCGAGTTCGACCCCTTGGCTTTTGGAGTGTTGGATACAAAGGGTCTGAGGCAAGCTATACCCCAACTGAGAAAGAGATACTGGCAGCCTATGAAGGGGTTCGAGCTGCTTCGGAAGTTATTGGCACAGCTCCTCCTGGCACCCCGGTTGCCCATGCTAGGCTGGATGTTCAAAGGCAGGGTCTCCTCTACACATCATGAAACTGATGCTACATGGAGTAAATGGGCTACACTAATTGCAGAATGAGCTCGAATAGGAAATCCCAGTCGTCCAGGCATTCTAGAAGTCATCATGGACTGGCCAGAGGGCAAAGATTTCGGAATGTCGCCAGAGGAGGTGGTGATGCGTGCTGAAGAGGCCCCAGCATATAATCAGCTGTCAGAAAGTGAAAAGCAGTATGCCTTGTTTACTGATGGGTCCTGCCGTATTGTGGGAAAACATTGGAGATGGAAGGCAGCTGTATGGAGTCCTCGACGACAAGTTGCAGAAACTGCTGAAGGAGAGGGTGAATCGAGTCAGTTTGCCGAGGTGAAAGCCATCCAGCTGTCCCTGTACATTGCTGAACGAGAAAAGTGGCCAGTACTTTATCTCTATACTGACTGATGGATGGTGGCAAATGCCCTGTTGGGTGGTTGCAGCAATGGAAGCAGAGCAACTGGCAATACAGAGGTAAACTCATCTGGGCTGCTGCACTGTGGAAAGATATTGCTGCAGAACCTGGTGGTGAAGTTACGTCATGTAGATGCCCATGTACCCAAGACTCGGGCCACTGAGGAACACCAGAACAACCAACAAGTGGATAAAGCTGCTAAGATTGAAGTGGCTCAGATGGACTTAGATTGGCAATGTGAAGGTGAATTATTTTTGGCCCGGTGGGCCCGTGACACTTCAGGCCATCAGGGCAGAGATGCAACATATAGATGGGCTCATGATCGAGGTGTGGACTTAAAAATGGACACTATTGCCCAGGTTATTCATGAGTGTGAAGCATGTGCTTCAATTAAACAAGCCAAACGGTTAAAGCCTCTTCGGTATGGAGGACAATGGCTGAAGTATAAATATGGGGAGGTCTGGCAGACTGACTATATCACACTGCCACCAACCCGCCAAGGCAAGCGCCATGTGCTTACCATGGTGGAAGCAACCACCGGATGGCTGGAAACATATGGTGTGCCCCACGCCACTGCCTGGAACATTATCCTGGGCCTTGAGAAACACATTTTGTGGTGACACGGCACCCCAGAGAGAATTGAGCCAGACAATGGGACTCATTTCCAGAATAATCTTATAGACACTTGGGCCAAAGAGCATGGCGTTGATTTGGTATATCACATCCCCTACCATGCACCAGCCTCTGGGAAAATTGAAAGGTACAATGGGCTGTTAAAAACTACACTGAGGGCAATGGGTGGGGGAACTTTCAAGCATTGGGATACACACCTAAGGCCACCAGGTTGGTCAACACCAGAGGATCTGCCAACAGGGCTGGCCCAGCCCAATCAGAACTTCTACATATTGTAGAGGGGGACAAAGTTCCTGTGGTGCATATGAAGAATTTGCTGGGGAAGACAGTCTGGGTTATTCCTGCGTCAGGTAAAGACAAACCCACTCATGGGATTGATTTTGCTCAGAGACCTGGATATACTTGGTGGGTAATGCGGGAGGAGGGGGAAGTCCGATGTATACCTCAAGGGGATTTGATTTTAGGGGAAAACAGCCAATGAACTTAATTGTATGCTGTTGCCTGCTGTGTAATACTTTTATAGCCCATCAACCAGATTTCTTCAGGTCACCAGCGACTAGCCCCGACTTCCCTCCAACCATCATCCCAACAGAGAATGAGGTTTGATAGAACCAGACGAGTTCTGAAGTAAGGGAACGATCAGCATCAGCAGCCGGCGATCCAATATTGCACACAGTCTCTCCTGCTCTGAAAGACTGTTACAAGAGATGGAGCCTGACATCATGGACCAGATGGACTCAGCAGCTTTATAGGGATTGGTCCATGCGCTAAGATAGGAGTACACTGAGATAAGAGTGATGGTATATTGAAAATGTGGGATCTGAGCATGACGTGAATGGTATGGAATAAGGGGTGGATAATGTCCTGAGTTTAGCAGTAGCAGTCATTTTTCTCTTTCTTGGTGGCTGGTGCAGTTCTGTGTTTTGACTTTCGGGCTGGGAACAGAGCTGATGACAATGATGTTTTGGTTTGGCCAAGGACTTTGTGGGCCTCATGCTCTCCCGGGGAGGAGGGGGGGACCGGGAGGGGGAGGAGGCGGGACACCTGACCCAGGCTGACCAGGGAGGTCTTCCATGCCACAGCATGTCATGCCCAGGGTATAACTGGGAGTTACCTGGAAGGACACGGGGTCTTCTGGGTCGGACTCGTCTTTTGGCAGGTGGCATCGTATTCTTTTCCCTTGTTATTTTCTCTTATCATTGTTGTCGTTGGTGGTAGCAGTGGGGATTTGTGTTGTACATCGGTTGCTGGACTGTTCTTATCTCAACCCATGGGAGTTGCATTCTTTCGATTCTCCTCCCCATCCCTCTGGGAGTGGGGAAGGGGGGAGCCCCCGGGGGGGGGACGTGGGCCTCGACTGCTTCCAGCCCGGCACCACTCACTGGGGGTGAGTGCATGAGCTGTCTGGCTGGGTTTAAACCACGACACTTCGCTAGCTACATTTCAAGCACGTGACAGGGGGAAAATGAAGGGACACTTCCGATCTCCAGCTGTGCAAAGAGTGCACGTTAATGAGAGCAGTTGGGAGAGACTGCACATTGTATAATGTCACGTTTTGTATGTTGTCATGTTTTTTTATGTGAACTTTTTGGACTCAGCGTTGTTCTCAGTCTAAAGTTGAAAGCACAGCGTTGCACCAGGTACTAGGAAGGATAAAAATGACTGCTACAGGTGAACCCAGGACAGGGAGTTACCCGGAAGGCCAGATAGCTGCTCAGGTTGGGCTGGGTATCAGTCAGCACGTGGTGAGCAATTGCATTGTGAATCACTTGTGTTTGTTTTCCTTTTCCCCTTTTAAAAAAATCTTTCCAAGCAAGTGGGGTGTACTGATTACAAGCAGAAAGATTTCACAGTTAATCTGAAATCCACAATTATTGTAAGCTCCAGATAACCTAATTTTTATTTTACTTTAATAAAAATGATACATAGAGGAGCTTAGTCAAAGGCTTTCAGCAGCATTTTAAGTAGCTTCCCAATGCAAATTGACAGTTGTTTGTCTGGGGTTTTTTTAAAGACTTAATCATAGAATTGCAAACCACATTTAAGTGCTGTAACTGAAAGTTTTATGTGACAAAGCTACTGGAACCGGTATTACAGAGCACCAGGTATCTTCAGCAAACAGATGGCTAATGGCAGCTGAAGTGACTATCAACAGTATTTATTAATTTTGGTCAATACTGAAAGTGGATTCAAACTTGCTAACAGATTTTACAGCCTGCCAGATGAATTTACTGCATCCTCAAAAAAAAACCCAACAAACCAACACCTTGGAAAACCAAGAGACTAAAAGACAATTATTAGATATTAGGAAAGGATGGAAGCTCTTACCAATTTCATGTTCTTCACTATCTCAGACCTAAAATTTCTTTCATGTGGAAGAGAAGATAGAAAGTTTAAAGATTACCAAGACAAATAGGCACAAGCAGGCTATATTTGCTGCCCTGTAGCAGTAATTAAAATCTCTTTACACTTTACTGATTTAGTTCAGCATCATGAGCCGCTCTTCAGCTTTGCTTTCTGCAGCATTTTAAGTATCTTTCCAATGCAAAGTAGTAGGAGTACAGGAATAATTATAGACAGAAGCAGAAGTTAGGTCTCCTTACTTGGAATTCTGTATCTTCAGTTATTAACCTGTGCATCACCTGTACATAACTGCATGCACTATTATCCATGCATAATTGAAAATGTGTTGATAACCTATTTCTAACTCCTTGGGATCTGCTATCCAGCCATTTTCCAAACCAGCAAAGAATCCTCCTATTTAGGACATGAGCAGCCAATTTGTCCAGGAGAATGCTGTGGGAGACTGTGTCAAACGCTATACTTTGGTCCAAATAGACAATGCAGCAACCACGAGATGGTAGAATTCAGGATCTTGTGTGGTAGGGTCAGTAGAATAGCAAGTAGAATTGCAACCCTGGACTTTAGCAGGGCAAACTTTGGCCTCTTCAAGCAATTGCTAGGGGAAATCACATGGGCTAGACTGCTTGAAGGTAAAGGGGCCCAAGATAGTTGGTTGACGTTCAAGGACTGCTTTTTCCGAGCTCAAGATCAGAGCATCCCGACATGTAGGAAGTCAAGGAAGAGGGTCAGGAGACCTGCATGGCTAAATAGGGAATTGCTGGGTATGCTGAAGTGGAAGAGGAGAGTTTACAGGTCATGGAAGGAAGGGCTGGCCACTTGGGAAGAATATAAGGCTGCTGCTAGAGGATGTAGGAAAGCTGCTAGGATGGCTAAGGCCTCCTTGGAATTAAAGCTGGCGAGAGGGGTCAAGGACAGCAGAATGAGCTTTTTCAAATACATGGCAGGTAAAACTAACACCAGAGGCAATGTAGGCCAGCTGATGAACGGGACGGGTGCCCTGGTGACAGAAGATACAGAGATGGCAGAGTTACTGAATGCCTTCTTTGTCTCTGTCTACTCTGCCGGAGGCAGTCCTGAAGAGCCCTGTACCGCTGAGACCTCGGATGAAGATAGGTCAACGGAGCGGTTTGCCTTAGTCGATGAGGAATGGGTTAAAGACCAGTTGAGCAATCTGGACATCCATAAATCCATGGGTCCAGATGGGATGCACCCGCGGGTGCTGAGGGAACTGGCTGAGGTCATTGCTAGACCGCTCTCCATCATCTTTACCAAGTCTTGGGAAACGGGAGAGGTGCCTGAGGACTGGAGGAAAGCAAATGTCACTCCTGTCTTCAAAAAGGGCAAGAAGGAGGACCCGGGTAACTATAGACCGGTCAGCCTCACCTCCATTCCTGGGAAAGTGATGGAACACCTTATCCTTGGTGCCATCTTAAGGCATATCAAGGATAAGAGGGTTATGAGGAGCAGTCAACATGGCTTCACCAAGGGGAAGTCGTGCTTGACCAATCTCGTAGCCTTTTATGAGGAAATAACACGGTGGATGGATGATGGCAGAGCGGTGGATGTGGTCTACCTTGACTTCAGCAAAGCGTTTGACACGGTCTCCCACAGCATCCTCGCAGCTAAATTGAGGAAGTGTGGTCTGGATGATCAGGTAGTGAGGTGGACTGTGAACTGGCTGAAGGAGAGAAGCCAGAGAGTTGTAGTCTATGGGGCGGAGTCTAGTTGGAGGCCTGTATCTAGTGGAGTGCCTCAAGGGTCGGTACTGGGACCAGTATTATTTAATATATTCATCAACGATTTAGATGAGGGAATTGAGTGTACTATCAGCAAGTTTGCTGATGACACTAAGCTGGGAGGGGTGGCCGACACGCCAGAAGGCTGTGCTGCCATCCAGCGAGACCTGGACAGGCTGGAGAGTTGGGCGGGGAATAACTTGATGAAATATAACAAGGGAAAGTGTAGAGTCCTGCATCTGGGCAGGAACAACCCCAGGTTCCAGTATAGGTTGGGGAACGACCTGTTAGAGAGCAGTGTAGGGGAGAGGGACCTGGGGGTCCTGGTGGACGACAGGGTGACCATGAGCCGACACTGTGCCCTTGTGGCCAAGAAGGCCAATGGCATCCTGGGTTGTATTAGAAGGGGGTTGGTTAGTAGGTCGAGAGAGGTCCTCCTTCCCCTCTACTCAGCCCTGGTGAGACCTCATCTGGAATATTGTGTCCAGTTCTGGGCCCCTCAGTTTAAGAAGGACAGGGACCTGCTGGAGAGAGTCCAGCGCAGGGCAACTAAGATGATTAAGGGAGTGGAGCATCTCCCTTATGAGGAAAGACTGAGGGAGCTGGGTCTCTATAGTTTGGAGAAGAGGAGATTGAGGGGTGACCTTATTAGTGTATATAAATATATAAAGGGGGAGTGTCACGAGGATGGAGCCAGGCTCTTCTCAGTGGCAAACAATGATAGGACAAGGGGCAATGGGTACAAACTGGAACACAAGAGGTTCCACTTAAACTTGAGAAGAAACTTCTTCTCAGTGAGGGTGACGGAACACTGGAACAGGCTGCCCAGGGGGGTTGTGGAGTCTCCTTCTCTGGAGACATTCAAGACCCGCCTGGACACGTTCCTGTGTAACCTTATCTAGGTGTTCCTGCTCCGGCAGGGGGATTGGACTAGATGATCTTTTGAGGTCCCTTCCAATCTCTAACATAATGTGATACTGTGATACTGTGATGTCATAGAATCATAGAATCATAGAATCATAAGGGTTGGAAAGGCCCTTAAGATCATCTAGTTCCAACCCCCCTGCCATGGGGCAGGGACACCTCACACTAAACCATGTCACCCAAGGCTCTGTCTCTTGCTCTGGCTTTCTGTTTTAAAGAAACACTTGAACCTGTCTTTTTCTCAAGCAAAGAAAATTCTCAGGTCTTGCCCTGACTGTCAGTCAACAGCTCAGTCCTCATTTGCCATCTGTGTAAATCCTCATGGCTTAAAAGCAAATGTGGTACTGTGATCCTTTGGGCCCGCAGAAATGGGAAGGGTCAGTGGCACTGATGACCTGGAGGACAGGGTATGTTTGTGTCCTACAGGTCCATGGTGGCTGCCTGCAAAGCTTGTCAAGCCAAACCATGAGCTGGACAGACAAGTTGAATTACCCAATGCCTAGCTGCAGTAGCTGACCTTGAAGGCCCCGAGTGGAATGAGACAGAGGAAGAGGAAAAGGAATGCAAAACATATCTTGAGGACAACTGAAAAGTAACAATTTGAGTATGTGTACTTGCAATGTAGCTGTTATTAGAGGCTGTGATTTTGTGTGTAAACCACCTGTACTTACTAGAAAGTTGCTAATAAGAAACTACACCTTGTATTACATGGATTTGTCAGTTGCAACAAAGATGTTGGAGCATGCAAATTTACAGCAGCTGCTAGAAAATGCTAAGGCAGAAGCCAGAAAAATTCTAGTACGATGGCAGTGTTGTAAAGCAGGTAATGGAACAAATTAAGAGGGTGGGAGAACCCTACTGGTGTCAAATTTTCTTTGGCTGGTCCCCCACTGCCACCAGCATCTCCAACATGCTGCTGCACCCTGTAGTAGTTATACTGCTAATGTAAATGTGTGTGTGCTTTGCCACAGTAGTGACCTGTTATTGAATGCGGCAGGTGAAGCTGCATTGACATCAAGGTGCAAGGACTGAGGTTGGCCAAATGCCTCCTACCATAGTCAAAGGCAAGACTGGGTTGGCCTCTGCATTTGCCACCAAGAACCTTTAGCTCCGCTGTTGGCTGCAACCTAGCAGGTGTTGAGCGGTGGAGAGACATGCCATGCCAGACCTTGATGTGAGGGATACCCCCCCCCTGTTATAAGAGGGCCATCCAGGTGGAAAGAGCAGGCTGAGCAGGCCAAGCAGCCTGTGGTTGGCATGAGAGATGATCTAGTCCAAATCCCCTGCTCAAGGAGGGTCAACTAAAGCAGAATTCATCATCCTCAAAGTAAATAAAAAACAAAGAACAAAACAACAAAAGTTAGCATACTGATGCAATTCAAGCAGAACAAAGAGAAATAACCAGTTTATCCAAAGTAGTATTGCAGAACCGAATGGCCTTAGATATGTTATTAACATCACAAGGGGGAGTTTGCTATGTAATCAGTGACAGTAGTTGCTCTTATATAGATCAAAGTGGAAGAATCAAAACCAATTTAGAAGAAATTTGGAAGTGAGTTAGAGTGCTTCATGAAATAGCCTAAGATGACTCTTCTTGGGGTTTTGAGGCGATTCGGAAAAAAGTAACTTGGTGAGATAATCTTTCCTCTTTAAGACAACTGTAGGAATATTGATGTTAATTATTATAATCTTAATCTTGTGGCACTTCTTACATGGTACAATGTTTTTTCTGGTGTTGCAAACAATCCATGATAAACTATGAAGAATGGAAGAGAAAATTAAGCATCAAGTAGAAATGGGGAAATACTTCAGGAAACTTTAAATAAGAATGAAATAACTCAGTTGCTAAAGAATTTGCAATAGGACAAGAAAAGAGAAAATTGAAGAATGGGGTTGATTGAAAATAGTCTGAATGGGACAGTCTTCTCAGGAAAGCAACAGGTTTTGTTTCAACAAACAACCCTTATGTCCCTGAGAGCTACGCACGTAATGCAAAGCAAGTGAAATTCAGCAACAGGTTGGGGTAGTCATCTCAGGGAGACAGCACTTTTTTTCAACAAAATCTAGCCCTTACATCCCTGAGAAGTACACACGTAATAACTTACACTTTATGTGACAGTACAGTACTTCTCACTGCAAGGGATCCTGTCCGTGATGCCAACTTAATGACAGGGACTGATGGGAGAAAACCCCAGTGCTGGACCATGTTTCAGTTCATGATCCCAAGAGTAAAATTAAGATTCAAATTTAAGAATCAAACGAGGTCAAGTACTGTAATCAATTTAGTAAGTTTATTACAAATAGACAGTTATAAAAAGAGAAATTATTGTAATAAAGGGGATAGTGATAGGAAAAATAATGGAAAAAAGACAGAAAATGAAGCAAGGATTTGGGGTGCAGAGAGAGAGAGATAGTCACCACCTTGGATCCAGTGGTGTCCCAGGGTTATGCTGTCGTCATTGTTGGTGGTGGGAGTTTGTAGACAGTATCAGAGCAGAGTGTCCCCCAGGAGTCTGTAGTAGTCATTGGAGATGGTTGTCCTCATGGAGGTGTCCTTCTGGAGTCGTCCAGAAGGACGTACCCGTGAAGGTACCCCATTTTGGTGATGTTTTACTCCCCCCTTTTATAATGAGTTGGGGGGAGTACTTATGTTCTTCAGGTCATGTATTACACGTTCCTGGTGGACCAGTTTCAATGGTCTTGCAGCCAGCTTTTCAACTACACGTCTGCAGCAATTCCTGGGATAATGGACAGCTTCACACCAGTCCTCGAGGTAATGGATGGAAGAGTCTTATCTCAGCTCTTTCCCACTCATTCCTCAGGCAGTGGACAGTGGAGTCTCAGTTCAGCTCCTCACGCCCATCTTTCAGAAAATGGATATTGGAGTCTTTTCTCCACTCCTCACACCCATCTCTGAGACAAAAGATAGATGGAACTCCATCTCAGCTTCTCATACCAATCATTGAGACAATGGATAGTGGAGTCTGATTTCAAATCAGTCTCTCACACTGAGGAATACCAGAACAACCAACAAATGGATAAAGCTGCTGAGATTGAAGCTATTCAGATGGACTTAGATTTACAACAATAAGAGTGAATTATTTTTAGCCTGGTGGGCCCATGACACCTCAGGCCATCAGGGAAGAGATGTAACATACAGATGGGCTTGTGATCGAGGGGTGGACATAGAAATGGACTCTATTACTATATGATCAGGTTATTCATGACTGTGAAGCGTATGCTGCAGTTAAGCAAGCCAAGCATTTAAATCCCCTTTGGAATGGAGGACCATGGCTGAAGCACAAATATGGGCAGGCCTGATAGATTGGCTATATCACACTCCCGCCAACCTGCCAAGGCAAGCACTATGTGCTTGCCATGGTGAAAGCAAGCACCAGATGGCTGGAAATATACGCTGTGCCCCACGCCACTGATCAGATCACTGTCCTGGGCCTTGAAAACAAGTCTTGTGGTGACATGGCACCCCAGAGAGAACTGAGTCAGACAATGAGATTCATTTCTAGAACAACCTTATAGATATTTGGGCCAAGGAGCCTATCGTGGTTTAAACGCAGTCAGCCATAAATCAACCACACAGTCTCTATCTCACACACCCCCCCCCCCCCCTTCTTGCCCTTCCCCTGCTCCCGGAGGGATGGGGAGGAGAACCCAAAGAAGGCAACTCCCATGGGTTGAGATAAGAACAGTTTAGTAAATAAGGTATAACACAAATCACTACTGCTATCAGCAATAATAATAATGATAAAAGAATGTGGAGACAGTGTTCTCACAGGAGAACGCATAATTGGTACATAAACTGAATAATCCTGAAAGATACAGCAAGGCCGTGAGAGGCCCGAGGAAGCTTAAGCAAGCAAGATAAGAAGAAGCTGTAATTCACTGAGTTAATGAGAACTGTGGACTGTTGGCAAGCTTTTGAGGTCAAGTTCTCACACCTGTGCTTAACCAATTGTGTGTTAGTCGCTAAGGGTCTTCAAGACATGTATCCAATCATAATATGCCAAATCACTGTGCCTGTAAGAAATGGTATATAAGGAGTTAAAGCTTTGTAATAAATTGGCATTCACTGATCACATTGATCATTCCTGCGCTGTCCGTGACTCCCGTGTCGACAAATGGCACCCGAACAGGGACCCTCAGATCGGTAACTTGTGGCATCAAGTTTGAAGGTCCGATCAAAAGAAGAGGGGGCGGAGAGCCGGCCGAAAGTCAGCGCTGCCCCGGCGCTGTGAAAGTCAGACGTCTGCAAACAGTGGAGTAACTGTGGGATCTCGCCCTGATTAGGTGAGCGGCTGGGGAGGACATGGGGCACTCGCCTTCCAAAGAGGAACAGGCAGTGATGGAGCTCCTCCACATAATTCTCTCTAAGAGAGGACTGCAACATGATAGTGCTGCCTTACAGAGGCTGTTAAAGTGGGACCGGGATAGTGGCTTTATCCCCACAGAGCAAGCCACCTTTGAAGTTTCTGAATGGGAACGTATAGGTCAGGCGTTGTGGGATGAGATTAGTAAAGGGACAAAGGAAGCCCTGAAGTATTCGTTATAGAGATTGATAATTGAAACTTTAAAGGAAATGAAATCAGAACAGGCATCTGTTTTCCTGGCCACTGCTCCTTCACAAAGTCAGTCAGAGGTAGAGAAGAGTGCTAGCAGAAAATGCAAATCCGGTCACCTTCGACCTAGAGGAAGAAGACCCCAGATCAGAACTGGAACCAGACCCAGAGTCTCCGGCAGAACCGGACTTGTACCCTCCCCTTCCTGATCCTGACACAGACTCAGACGGTTCAGACAGTTCGGCTCGTCAGCAGATGCGAACCAGCCTCAGTGATGGTCAACTGCGACAGCTGCTGAAGAAATTAAAGTATTGGAGACAAAAGAAACCTCCGAACCCTCTGCCCCACCCTCCTACAATCCAGTAGTAAAGAGAGGGGAGTGGGAGGGGGGTGTTGGGCACAGGGTAGGGGATTACTGTAATCACCCTGCTAAAGGTTGGCGAGGGATGGTCAAAGATGCAATTGTTATGGGGGAATTTTCGGCTATGGGTCCCTTGGCATTCCTGGTGTTTAACACTCCACAGGGGGGAAAGGAGTGGGAGGCATTGAATTTAAAGGCAGTAAAGGAGGCACGTCAACCGGTAACATCCTACAGGTTAAAATCATCGTATACTCAGGCAATTATTGCACATCTTTTTTCTGCATATATCTTAGCACCATATGATATCTGTATGATAGCTCAACTGTTGCTTACTCCCCACCTTCAGATATGATTTAAAGTGAGCACAGCAGAGGAAAAGGCTGGATACAAGGCTACTGCCTTTTCTGCTGCTGTTAAACCCCTTTTACAATCAGGTTAGGGCAATCGTGGGGGTGCTAAAGGTATGAGATGTTATAATTGTGGACGGACAGGGCATTGTAAAAAGAAACAGTGTACTGTAAAGACAATTAGTCCAGCAGCCCGCCGCCACCCCCCCTCCCCCCCCCAG